GGCGGCCCTGAGCGCTCAGCAGCCCGGCGGTGGCGGCGCACAGCACCAGGGCTGCACGGGCCGACGGAGCACAGCGCATCCTCCAGCGGGGGCCTGGGCGTGGAGACTCGGGGACTCGGGGGCTCGAGAGACAAGCCCTGAAGACGCGGAGGACCTGGCGGAAACTCTCTCGAGCGCAGAAGCCACGGGGAAGGACTGGAGCACAGCTGCAGGCCCGCTCGTTTCGGCTGGTCCCGGCAGCGCCCGGCACCCCCTTTTATAAACAGGGTGCGGGAGTGGGAGCTGGAGCTTGGGAGGCGGGGCGCGGGGAGTGCCGGGGGCGGGGCGTGCGGCGGGGGGTGGGGTTCTGTGCGCTGGAGGCCTGGTAGTGATGGGGGGGAGGGCACCTGGTAGTGATGGGGGGGAGGGCACCTGGTAGTGATGGGGGGGAGGGCACCTGGTAGTGATGGGGGGGAGGGCACCTGGTAGTGATGGGGGGGAGGGCACCTGGTAGTGATGGGGGGGAGGGCACCTGGTAGTGATGGGGGGGAGGGCACCTGGTAGTGATGGGGGGGAGGGCACCTGGTAGTGATGGGGGGGAGGGCACCTGGTAGTGATGGGGGGGAGGGCACCTGGTAGTGATGGGGGGGAGGGCACCTGGTAGTGATGGGGGGGAGGGCACCTGGTAGTGATGGGGGGGAGGGCACCTGGTAGTGATGGGGGGGAGGGCACCTGGTAGTGATGGGGGGGAGGGCACCTGGTAGTGATGGGGGGGAGGGCACCTGGTAGTGATGGGGGGGAGGGCACCTGGTAGTGATGGGGGGGAGGGCACCTGGTAGTGACGGGGGTGGGGACACCTGGTAGTGACGGGGGTGGGGACACCTGGTAGTGATGGGGGTGAGGGCACCTGGTAGTGATGGAGAGTGGGGAACACCCTGGGGGTTCAAACTCTGGCTCTGCCCGCCCAGCCTTCCTTTGCGGACCAGGGAGACGTGACTCTCCCTCCCCCCGCGCTCCCACTCCAGGCGTCGGGATTCCGAGCCCTCCCCGCATCCCGCTTCCGAAGAGTCCAGTGTGAGGAAAGGGCGCTCGCGTTCGCGGGGACTGGGCGGCAATCCTGACCTTCTCCCCAAATCAGAAGCTGGGGAAGACGGCGGTGAGAACGGCGAGTAACAAAGGGCTCTCCTGGTGCGCAGAGTTTAGCGGGGCCAGCGGGGAGCCCGGGCTGGTGGGGGGGCTTCCTGTGATCTCCAGCCCAGCACCGGGCTGTAGCCCCCGGAGACGGCTCAGGGCTCCCACGCTCCTTCCCGCGCAAGGGTTCGTCATTGAGGATGTATTCGTGCCGATCCTAACGTCCTATCCCTCTCTGCTCCCCCACCCCAGTCGTGACTCTTTGCCTATATTAAAGCAGAAGCCTAACGCACAGAAAGAGGGGGTACATGGAAGGAAGGCCTCCCTCTCTCCCCACCTCCTTTGATTCATTCATTCAACAAAGAGGCCTGCTGCTCTCTCAGCCTAGGTCCTCTATGGAGTTTCCAGGCTGGTGGAGAGACCCCAACACTCTGAGCCTGGGGTAGGGGCAGGGTTGGGAGAAAGGAAGGAGGGAGTGAGGATGTGGGGCTGGACCGTGTTCATTCCACAGACTGAACATTCATTCAACAAACTTACACTGCCACGTCCTCCCCTGTTTCTCCATCAGCTTCCCTATACCTTGTAGGAAGAGGAGGCTGGCACAGAAAACCCGCTTGCCAGGAAGAACCCTCCTGGCAGGCTGGCTCACAGCACAGGCAAGAAGAGCGAAGTTGACTCAGCAGGGCTCTGAGCCAGCTCAGCTTGTGGAATCCGCAACTGCACACCCCAGTGCTGACGTGCAGGCCACCACTCACACACTTGGCCCAGTCGGGCGAGGTGCCAGGATGGCTGATCCCAGTGACAGACAGACAGGAAGGGCAGGGAGGAAATCCCCTGGCAAGGAGGAGGTTCAGACGGCCACCATCTGGCCTTTCCATCCCCTAACCCTGGCCTCTCTCTGAGTGGGGGAACAGCTATCCTGCCCTTTCCTGGAGTGTAATCTCCTCCTCTTCTGCTGCTTTTTGCACTGAGATAAACGATCAATTACTTTCCCAACCTAATGGTCTTTTCATGATCTTCTTTTCGGGGACTTGGGTGCCACATTTCTGAGAGCAGAAAACACAACCAAAGGCTCTTGGAGGCACCTGCTGTGAGCAAGCTACAAAAGACTGGGGGTCTGGAACTGGTTCCGGAATTTGTCTTAAAACTTCTCTTTGGAATGTGCCCTCTGACCCAGTAATGACACAGTCCTTGAGCACCTACTGTATGCTGTGCACTGTCCTGGGGCCATGATGATGAACAAGACCCAGTCCCCCATCCTGACACTACTCTGGTCAAAGCAAGTAGCATTACAAAGGTGGCCAATGGGCTAGAATCTGTCATCTGAAAAGGAAGCAGTGACAGTGACTGTCTTTTTTTGCCAGTCTGTGGACAGCTGAAGGAGAACAGTTCTTGCCCTTAGGAGATCTCAGCCTGAGGCAGGACATGGTCTCATGACAGTGTCTTTCTAACTGTATCTCCAGGATATGGTTTACTGAAGTCCCCTCAGTTCCACCTCCCTAATCTCCAATCGTGGGACTTTTCAGTAGATGGAATAGGAGGAGAGGACCTGATCTGTCAGTGGAGGGGTTGTTTATAATAAAAACAGCAGGAAACATCTGCTGTGCACTTAATATAAGACATGTAGAGCCGGCCTGTGGCTCACTTGGGAGAGTGTGGTGCTGATAACACCAAGGCCCCGGGTTCGGATCCCATATAGGGATGGCCGGTTCGCTCACTGGGTGAGCGTGGTGCTGACAA